AAATTTTTTCTTGTCAACATAATATCATCATTGTAGTGTGCCTGATCATACCCTAGAGATTTTTTAAATCTTGGCCTTTGAAATGCTTCTCCTGTGTATTTTGAGGGTCAAATTTTTGCTGGTAGACTATCTCGTTTGGTGCAAAATTACACAAGAGTTTCATTATTCTTCATTTTGCCCACTCCACTCAAAGCAGACTGACTCAAAGATGGTGGAGTAGGCAAAATTTTTGTCAGTGATGACCGGGAAATTTGGTCTAGAACACTGTCAAAGAAATCCTGACATCTTATTCCCATGGAACAAGGACACAAGAACGAAAGATCTACTCTACTCTACTCATAATATAATGTCCTTACATGGAATAATGCCCTACATTGTAGATGACATAATTATTCAATTAAATGAAATTTCTTTTGGTACATTCATTGTCAAGTATGGTTAATGAATTCAACACATTCATCAAATTGCTGTGTGCTTAAATTGTATCCAAGTGAAGATTATTTCTATACCAATGAAGATTCTTCCTGGATTTTAGTGGAAAGTGACTGGGCAATGTGACATGATACTTGAGTTTATGAAATGCAAGTTCTCGCTTCAACAAGTTCAAGTAAATACCATGTGTAGGCAGATAAGTGTGACCCATGATATGACTTTTCTTGATTTTTAAAAACATTTCCTGATTTGATGGTCCCTTCCCTAGGGAATAGCTTAATTTGCATATCTCTTGGGAATAGTTGAATTTGCATATCCTCACATGAGACCTGAACATTGAAAGATCTTTAAATATGTCAAAAATTCAAGGAAAAGTTACAAGTGCAAAGTTTTATACCATAAAATGTAAAAACTTGAGGCTTTTTCCATTCTGTAAGCTTAATTTCACCTTTTTTTCTCAAGCATATTCTTTCACGCGCAAATTTCAAACTTTTTTGCGCGTGAAAACTCAACATTTGAAAATTACTATTGAAAATGGGAAATTAAGGATGGATGTGCAAATCCCAAGGGACTTGTTCAAATGTGAAGTTTTCACGCGCAAAAAAGGTTAAAATTTGCGTGTGAAAGATAAAGATAGAATTAAGATTCCCAAATAAATGTGAAATGTCCAAGACCCCCTGGGAATTGCCTACTTTGCATATTTTCACGCGCAGATTTTTCACGCGCGCGCAAATTTTTCACGCGCACAAAACCCCATCCCTGTATCACTACAAGTGACAACAACCTGAGGTCCTCTAGTTTCTTCCCATTGACACAAGCAATAAGAATCCAGTCTATAGTCACTAGTACATAATTACTGCATTAACCAGATTTTCTCTATCCCATAAGTGGGCAGTTTTGACTTCTGTACTTGGGTTGAGTGAGCTTTCTTTTATAGTGTGTAGACTAGATACCAGATACATACATACTAGAAGTACCATATCATCTATGCATATACCAATACTATACATAACCAGGCAACATACATGTATATAGTACTATATCATGTATACACCCAGTCCATATCCCTCTGTCCTCCCCACGTTCCCCACATACCGGGGATAGTCTGCAGGGTTGTGTCTGGATTGTTTTGACCGAGGATCAGACACGGAATGTGTCCAGCTGGGGTACATGAGGCTGGAATTTTGCAACATGGGAGGTGTTGCTAGCCAAATCTGCTACACAGTATCCAACTCTGCTACAAAATATGGTTATTACTTTATACTGGTGCTAAAAAGCACACTTTGTCACAAAGGGCTGTCTAAATGAGTAAATGGTTGCCTTTTTAAAGTCAGATAAACAAACATATACCATGCTCAAAGAGGTTGATATGGCAAGTAACTGCCCATACTAAACGATATGGAGATACTTGAACTGAAATATACAGTAATTCAAATATTTATCGATACATTTATGTTATTGTCTTGCAGTTTTTTTAGCTTTCCAACATCAGATGAACTTTTGGCTTTACAAGGCTGTTATAGATGTTCTACATCATGTACAAATGCATGTACTCATTCACAGCAAGTAAAGCCTGTTTACATAAATGGCCATGTTTTCTTTTGATACTTAATTCAGCAGCTCAAGTTACCACTTAGATCCCCTGGGATTTCTTGCCCTGAGATCCCACAGATTACCGCTGACCCTGGACCTTCAAGCTGGATCGTGTCTGAATAATGTATACAAAGTGTTTATAATTGAATGAGGTATGCATGGTGTTCCAGAACTGTGACATTGGAGACTGCTACGACTGTATAAGTCAGTCGTACCATTACCAACACTTGTGAGATCATGATAGATCCATTTAGTGCAACCACAAGCCATTACAGGATCAATCCTCTATAATATTTTGGTTAGCAGAACAGTATAATATTGTAACTGTTACAGATTCTGAGACCTTGGATCTCCTGCCATTCTGCCTGTCAATCACTCTCCCACCCATATGCTGTCAACCTACTCTGTCCCAATAGAAACCGTACACAAACCAACAGCTCAGCCACCCAAAACAATTCTTCAGTACCATGCTTGAGGGGGAAAAAGTGCAGAAAATGTAGATATTCCATGTAGGAAGGTTACAACTTACAGACTCCTTCCGTATCTCCAAGCAGAACTTTTGGTGGCTACAAAGCAGTACCAAATTGGCCAGGCAGTGGGGAATGGATACTGCCTGGCCAATTTGATACTGTCTTGTAGCAACCAAAGATCTGCTTGAAGGGGCAGTCCTTGTAGCAAAGTGTAAACAGGAGTGGGACTGAGGAGACACTGATGAATGAATGACAGGTCTGGTTCCTCCAATTCCCAACTCATTACAGCACAGGGATGAAGTGTACAGGAGGAGTAGTTACTGTAAATAGCAAAACTTTCCTAGTGATTTTATTTTCCCCTGGGTTCTTGTGGCAACCTCTAAACTAAGAAATGACATTGCCATTATATCTCCCTTGTAATACTGCTCTACTACCATCAACAATCATCTAAAAACATACCTCTTCATTCTACTGTAAAATACAAACACTGCCAAGATTTCATGATTTACAGTATTCCCCTGTTCCCCATGGACACTGCAGGACTGATGTTCAACAGATGGTTTTAACAGCTACTGCTGCCCCATGGGGTCTGTAATTAGAGCCTTCCTCTGTAAAAACTTCTTTTCTGGAAATTCTGAGTCAGTGTTGCACCTAAGCAGTTGAACCAGCTTAAATTCTGAATGGCTCAAGAGTTAAGTAAGCCTACATTGTTGTCATGATCAAAGAATTGTCCTTCCGAAAAATGCTCGGTATGTTTGTTTTCTTTATCAGCCACTTACTACTGTAGTAACACAAGCCCAGTCGGAACTGCGAGGAGGCTTATTTATGCTAGCTTCCCATGGGGATTCAACATGCTAGTGCATCAAGAAATGGCCAAAATTATGTACACCCTATTAGCAAGAACATCAGCGTTTTAAACAGGCAGGTTTTCTGTAGTACTTTTTGCTGAAACTAGATTCCAGCGTTGCTAAAAACAACGTACAGGGGCGTTCACCCCGAGATGCTTTCGTCCGGAAAAAGATTTCGCCCACTTACAAACGACACGAAGAGATGAAAGTCTATCCCTGCAGCGGGAGGGTCACAGAACCAGGGGCACAGGATCTTCCGACATTTTATCTGCTTAGGGGAGAGATTTACATGGGAGGCGGAGGTCGGAAGTCGGTGGCTCAGACCTAGCCTCTACCAGGCTTCGGGAGGCGGTGAAAAAGTAGAAATTTGGCCAAAATATATAGAGATAACATGCCAGGGGAGTTGGTCTCCTGGAAAGAATAAAGTACAGTCGACGGGACAGACTGTATTCTCTAGCAGACAAGCTCCCCCGGCATGTTATCTTTCTCTATATGCCAATTTGTACTCTTTCCCACCACCTCCCGAATCCCGATGCTAACCTCCGAACTGGGGGTTTGGTGGTCTTCAGCTGTTTTCTTATAATTTAGCCCAGTTCTAAAAGTTCAAAGAACGGGGGTAATTCAACCAGGCCGGCTAAGCTATGTTGTCAATATGCAATCAGAAAATAGCTCATCAAAGCTCCCAAAGACCCTACTGAAGACCCCACAAACCCCCAGTTTTTGGCATGCTATAGAGGCTATCCCGAAGCCTGGTACAGGTTAGGTACAGGCCAGCGCTCGGCTGGGTTTGATTTCCGTGGGACAGATGTTCACAGAGGCGAGACCATGTTCCGATGTAACACTAACCAGACTTCCGCCGCCCCGAGAGCGCTGTTCCGACACGAAAGGCCGCTAAACCCAGCTACATATCACCGTAATAATAGCCTGTGCGGCTGGTACGTGTGTACATTTGCAGTGGCGAACGTGGAAACTAGACGACAAGACCCAAAACTTTAAAGACATGAAACGTTAAACTGAAAGTCGAGAAAGACAGTCGACTAATACCTATCAGTATCTTAAAAACAGATTATAACTATAACGTTAGCCCACTGTACTACTTTCTTTGTTTATTTCCAACCGGGCACGTACGGCAAAAAAAAAAAAACGACCTCGTAAAAGGCCGTGTTAAAATTTAACAAAATCGACCCATGGGAACCCAAAATCAAAACACAGCACTTCCGTGCAAAATTCAACCAGTGTGAAACTATGGCTACGACCTACTTTTAAACCATCAAACAACAATTAGAATGACGGACCTTTTCTCAGAAAGACAAAGAAAGTGTCTACATACCTGTTTAGAGAAGAAAACATCCGTTGGTGTAAGGAAAGGCACGAGAAAGTGGATCTAAGGCGGACAAACGCTCTGGCCTTACCGTCCCAGGAGCCGCCCGAAAACTTCTGAATTTCAAACAAGGTCAAAGTTCACGGCGCCTGCGTTTGTGATGTCATTTGTGGTAAATTCCACTATCTTCTGGGGGGTGATTACGCATCTTCGGAAAACAATACATATTTTTTTAACATGATTACTGTCGTTTAGGTATACCTTGGGATTATTTTGAACCTTTTTAACAGTTAAGTTTGAACGAATACAAAATAGTATGCGTTTATAACCTTTGTATCCGTCGATATTTTGAACTTTTGAAAAATTATTTACCCATTTAAAAGAAATGGATACGTCCTACAAGTCGGAAAGAAACAAAGCCTACAGTCAGGGCGTTTTGACATTTATCTATCTTTCTCCTTCTTTTATTTCCGTTATTCTAGGTTCAAAATCCACCGAAGATGAATGAAGGTGACTTGGAGAAGTGAGTCATTACAAGCTCAAGTCTATCGCGTTATTTTAGTAATGGTAAATCATGTGTGTGTGTGGGGTATGTGTGTTTGTATGTGTGTGCGTGTGTACATGTGTGTGTGCATGTGCGTGTCTGTGTGTATGTGCGTGAGTGTTGTGTGTGTGCATGTGCATGTGTGTGTATGTGTGTGTTTGAGTGTGTATGTATGCATGTACATTTTTGTGTGTGTGTGTGCGAGGGTGTGTTTGAGTGTGTGTATGTGTGAGTGTGTATGTATGCTGTATGTGGACTCCTGACAGCATGTTATGGTACTGCAGCAAAATTTCCAATCTTCTTTTGAGATATTTTCCTTATCTTTTTGTCCAGGCTTGCTGTGGAGGAGCTTCTGCGTGAAGCGAAGAGGGGTCGGGAACGTGCCAAGGACATGGGACCAGCAGGGTGGTAAATGAATTTTTTATTTTTTTTTAGTTTTTAGTTTCATCGTGGTTTTATTTTTGAAAGTTTTTGTGTTGTTATTAGCCATAACGCCAGATCATGACACCATGAAAATATGTGTTTCTACTGTAGTACAGAATTGTTTGAACCGTGAACTTGAGACACTCTCAAAACCTAGTTTCCCCACCAACCACAAACATAAATACACCAACATTAGTCTACGCCCATCCCCTAACACACCAGAGGTACTAGTCTCTACCAGACTCCTTTGCAGGCTGAATAAATAGTAGAAATCGGCAAAGGGGGAAATCATTGGCCAGAGGAGTTGGCCGG